TAGCTCACTTTCATTGTCCTGTCAAATATCATAAATACATTTTATTATTAACTTAAGAACTTCAGTTTCTTATGATTACAGATAACAAGAACAGTGAATATTACTTGGTATACGTACCTTGCAATATTTCATATGTCTGTTTTTCTTTTGTTATAATTTATTTTCATTAACTTTATGCCTCCTCTTACATTTTTTTTCAAAAGGTATGACACACTCCTTAAAATGTGTTCTTAGAATCACTAAATGTGAAGCATTTTATAGCCATTTCATTATGCCAACCTTGAAATCTGTCTTGTGCAACAAAAGTATTTGAAATGAATGTTAAACATTTTGCAGCTGCATTAATGGAATGAAAGGTACTGGAAAATGACAGGTCTTTTTAACTCAACTATAAAGTCTTGTCTTGTTTTAATAGATCCTTTATAAAATGTGATGGGGTTGACCTATCAGTCACTTTTTCTATAGCCTCCATGTGGAATGTGGGTTTAAGTGGCTATAGCTTCACTAATGATGAAAAGGCAATGTAAAAGTGCTTGAAGTGCTTCTTCCCTGTGGGTTCCATGCACCTTTTCTCAGTGAAAAGATTAAGCATTCCTCTCAAATGAAAGAAAACAGTAGAAACTTCACCAGCTCTTTTGTCCAAGCAACTGCTGTCTTAGGGGTACAACGTTGAATGAAATCTTGTACATTACACATTGATTCCTCAGAGCCTCTTTCCTGAGGTTTGTAAAATTATTATACAAATTTCTATGTGATTACCCTCCCAAATTGTCTATGCGCATTGGCACAACTGTCCCTTGGTATCAGAAAGGGTTGACTGCAGGACCCCCAAAGATACCACCACTCATGAATGCTCAAGTCCCTTATTTAAATAGCATAGTATTTGAATATATACTGTGCACATCCTCCCATATACTTTAAATCATCTGTAGATTACTTATTATATTATATATGTAAATGCTACATAAGTACAGTAGCTATTATATTGTGTTGCTTAGGGAATAACGACAAGAGAAACATCTGTACATTCAGTCCAGATGCAGTTTTTTGTTGCATATTTTCTATTCTCTGGTAGTTGACTACCAATGTGAAGCCTGAGAATATACCGGGTTAACTGTATGCCATTATACTAACCATGTGACTGCCAAGTCAATAAGCAGGTAGACATGAGGCCATGAAAATGACCATTTTGCATTTAAGTTGATTTTCAGTCATGAAAACCAATCTCAGCTGAGTCATTCGGATCAACTACATGATGATTGGAGTCTGTATTAAGGTGGCCAAAATAACCAGATTATGATGTGCAGGCTTGATTTTAGATCAGACAGACACAGACACAGTCCATTAGCCTCAGTAAATGTCACAATGTAATTTCCATAAATTACTGTATTTTTCTTCACATTTCACGTAAACAATGCATAAACTACCATTAGTAGTCACAGCAGCAGAATTACGTTTTTCTTTTGTACCAAACTTTGATTTTAGAATTATGCCAGTGTTTTTTTTTTTTTCTCCTCGTGGTCGCAACAAAACCCTATTCTCCCACATAAGGATGACATTTGCAGTTTCATTCCAAGTGAACAACAGATAACAAACAATATCCAAACACATTTGGTTTTCCTATGCAGTGTTTGTAAGAAAATTGTACTTTCTATAATTTATATGCCATTCTGAATTTTCCTATTCGAATTTCACGTATTTTGCACTATAGAAATCTGGGTATTTCTTTCCTAGTATGTAAGTACAGATATTATATTTTCTATTTCTGCTTTCTATGCCTCTGTATTTTAAAACTGTAAATGTCTCTGATTATCTGTAAATAATCCTTATCATTTTTAACTGAAGTAATGGAGGGCTTTTAAAGCTGGTATTGTATGCATAAAGCAATTAGAACAGAATATGACACATAGGAAGTCCTCAACAAGTGTTAGCTATTATTACCATTTTTATTACCCTGTTACCATGATACTACTTGAAGCATTAATCTTTTTTATTTTGCAGTATTTGGATTTTTATTAGTACATCTTTGCAGCACATAATGGTTACATTTATCATAGGAAGTTGGTACATGTACACAGCACTGTCTACCTTTTTTTAATCTTTCATACACTGACATTATTTACAGAGTCAGACTAGTCCAGATTGAGTAAATGTGTATGGCTACAATGAAGAAAAGCTATGAAAAGTCTAAATTCATAGTTGAAACACTGTATACTTTTAGCATTGGGAAATGGGATACATTCTTTTCTCAGACTCATTCAGATGTTTTTACCTTTTTCTGATTAAAAGAGAAATGTTCCTAGATAAAATCCTGAGAGAGTATAACTATTAGTTTGAAAAATCTGTTGCACAACAGATTTTCACATTTGAGAAAATAAAAGTGATTATGTTTAAGAAATAAATATACAATGGGTTTTTTAGGCATCCAGGGACCAACAAGTATTGCAGACTTTAAAAAATAAGTAGGTTTGTTATCACTAACCAATAAGGAATACTATTTATATAAAACACCTGCCAAAATTATTTGATCTGAAGGCAACTTCTAAAATTGCTGAATTTTTCAGAGACTGAAAGAAAGGTTATCTAGGAATACAGGAATTTGAATTTGCTTCAAAGTGGTACAATGCTTGTATAAGCAAAGAAGAACTTGGTTTTGTCAGCTCTTAGCCAAGAACTACCCTCTTCCCACAGAGCCTCGAGATGTGCCAGGGTCCTATGCATATTCTTGACTTTATGACACAGTGAGTTCTTCCCTGTGAGCTTTCCCAGGCATGGGAGATCAGCCTAACCAGGATGGAGCTCTGCCACACAGTAGCAGTATGCTGGGGATGATGTGGCAATATTCTATAAAACCTAGTGAGCAGATTTTCATTTCTGCAAACTGAGCCTGTCTTCAGCAACACTGTAAAGGAGATGACATTTCCTACATAAAAGTCATTACCCATCACTGAGCATTCATCGCCCTCATGTGGGCCCCCTAACTTCCCATAGTCCCCGTCCATGAGCAGCACTCGTGATACACACTTATAACCATGCCTGCCCCTTAAAAGTTTTATAAAACACTGTCACTTAGCCCCATATCCCAGAATTCCAAATTAATTGATGTGGGATGGAGGTTAGGCAAAGGTGCTTTTTGCTTTTTGGGATTTTTCTTTTTCTTTTTTTCTTTTTACTTTTTTTTTTTTTTTTGCTTCTTTGTTTATTTTAATCAAAGCTTCTCTAAAAGTATTGAGAACTGACTGACAATCACTGAAGAACATGTTTGTTTCTCAGTTTGGTCTGCAAACCACTTGCAGTAGAATCATTTGTGATTCTTAGGCACTTGATATTCTGAAAATATCTTTAACAAAATACCCTGAAATATCAGTGCATAGTAACACTGAAGAACAAAATGTTCCTTTTATTAAAACTTACCCATCTCCTGTCCCACTTCCTACTAATTGAATAAAAATGGTTATCTTTGAACATGTTGATCAACAGCTTTGAAGACAACCTGGAGACAGTGAATCTACTAGTAAGAATTTCTAAGGTGTGCTAGGAGACTACTGTTCTTTGTTTTGGGGTTTTTGTTGTTTTCATAGTTTGAGGACTGTTTTGGGGGAACAACTGTTCTGCTGCCTGACAAACCACATTGTACTAAGAGAATAGTATTGTTTGTTTTGGAGTTGTCAGTGTCTTCCTAGTTGGGGATTGTTGGGGGGCGCAACACTTTTGGTACCAGACAAACCACATTATACAGGTAGTTTCCTACTATATTTGGAACTTCCCCTCAATGGTTTAGACATAGTTTTTAAAAGGGAGGAGTTTTGATCTCGTTATCCTGAAGAACCACTTATATGAGGATAAGAGTAAATATTATCATATAGCTTCTTGCCTCATGGGTAGCCAACTCCAAAATGACAATATCTTTATTGACTATATTAAGCTCAAAGTGAATAATGTCCATTTACCAGTATCTACCCATTTGTCATCAAATACAGAATGGTGTTTTACTGTGTCTCTCCCATCAGCGCACCTTACATCAGTAATTGTCTCTCTTGGCTGCACACTGCAATCACCTGAAGAGCTTTACAAAATGCAAGTGTCTAGGTCCCACCTTCCAGATCCTCCTTTAATTGATTTTGGAACCTGAACACATTTTCAAGGGTCTCAGGTAATTCTGATGTGCAAGGAAGACCAAGAACCACTTGCTTTAAAGGAACCGTAGCTTTTTCTACCAGTGTGCCTACCAAAACACACAGAACAATACCTCAGTGTATTAAATTCTGACATACAAACAGAAAGATTCTATTTGTGATTTAAAAAATCTTGCTTTTAAACCTGTGTTAGTGAGCTTTCCATCACTATGACAAATACCCGAGGTAAACAGTTTATGAGGAGGGCAGATTTATTTTGGCTCATTGTCTCCAAGATTTCTGTTCATAGTCACTTGGCCCTGTTGCTTTGGGCCTGTGACAAGGCAGTATATCATGACAGGGGTGTGTAGAACAGGAGGCCTGTTCACCTCAGTGCAGCTAAGAAACAATGAGAAAGGGAGAAAAGGAGGAAGAAGAAGAGAAAGAGAGAAAGATGGAGACAAAGAGACAAACAGAGATATAGGGGCCAGGATCTGGATGTCTCCTTCTCAAACACGTCCCCAGTGATCTAACTCCCTTCCACTATCCCCCATCTATTAAAGAATCCACCACCTCCCAAAAGCACCACAGACTGACAACCAAGCCTTTGACACATGGTCCTTTAGAGGACATTCAAGACCCAAACTAGAGCAAAACCTGCATAGCAACACACATGTACCATCATCATTGCAACCATGATATGGAATGTTATTGTTAATAAGTGATTTTTTTGTCTGATGTTTTAATTACTTCACATCATGTACTTCTGGCCTTCATCACTTGTACTGAAAACACTTCTCTTCTTGAAATTAAGATAAGAATTTTTTTTTTTAAATTGAGGTCTGGCCCTTTTGGATCTGAATTTGTTTTTATTTTATTTTGTAGATCACTCTCTGGGCGCATTGTTGGAGGGGTTTGGTGGTTCTTCACCCTGATCATAATTTCTTCATATACTGCCAATCTTGCTGCTTTCCTGACTGTGGAAAGGATGGTTTCTCCAATAGAGAGTGCTGAAGACTTAGCTAAGCAGACTGAAATTGCATATGGGACCCTGGACTCTGGTTCAACAAAAGAATTTTTCAGAGTAAGTACTTTAAAGTTAATTGAGCCTGTTGGTTTTTATTTTATTATCTTTTCACAAAGGCAAATTCACAGTGCTTTGAAGGGAGGGTTGGTTGGGTAAAGTTGGGAGTAATATCAAAGCAGTGTCTTAAATTCTATTCTGCTTCTTTGGTGAACCAATTCATTTTCCTTTAGAACTAAGACTGACTCAAGTGAGACACAATAGCTGAGACACAATAGGCGACATGTCAAAAGCACTGAGTTGGAATTGCTCAGTTTGAAGCCCAACACTGCCACAAAATTATTGTCCTTGGGCAAGTCATTTAACTTCTGTTGGCTTTGGTCTCCTTTTTTGAACAATGTAGGGAATGAACTATACAACGTCCCTTTCCTCTAGATTTTACTAAAGCAGTAATTTTGTCTCAAATAACTGACTCTATAACACTCTGACAAGTGATGAGCTAAAAGATATTGTATTTTCTGTTTTAGACATTGGCTTTCTGTGGAAATATATTCCAGTTGTTTCAAGTATAAATATATATGATGACAATTCAATCTCAGGATATTTCATAAATATTTTAATTTTTAAGCAGACCTATTCTCCCAGCCACCATAAGTCAAGCCTTACTGAGAAAACAGCAAATTATTCACTAGAAAAATTAGTGTAAAGCTATGTAAACTTCACTGGCATTTTTAAGAACTCAAATGTTTTTCAGTTATTCCAACAAGGAAAATTTGCTGATTTAGATTAGAAAATGAACCCATTCAATACATTGCCACTGCCTGCTATAGTAGACATTTATAACAGGTTGTAGCAATGATACTGAAGCCATTTGAGCAGTACATAGAGAAAAACATTTAGTCAGTCTGACCAAACAATAATCAAGTTATTAGATGACAGACATAATTAATGAATTCTTCTCAAAGATCCAGAATAAAGATATGCTGTTTTTAAGCAAGCTTATTTTAATAAACTAGAAGCCAATAAATTTCTATGTGTAGTACCATGAGATTTGTCCAATTGTTTATTGGAAAGTCAAGAGGAATGTGTTTATTGACATAAAAATTAACTAAAAGCTTTTCATTCCTAGAAGGAAAAAAGATTGATTCTGAGACCCTTTCACTAATTCTCAGTGGCTCAGGATATCTATGTCTCACCTCTACCATCTATTTACTAAGCAGATTATAATTCCCAGCTGGGGGAAAGACCCAGTGCAAGAAGCATCAAAATAACATGAACGTCCTCAGAAACTAATCTGGCATTGACTTTGTCTATTATGGCAGTCCCAGAAGCCTATTTGAGAACAACCTCTTCCCCTGATGAAATGACTTACGTATGTCAGAAGTAGAAGCCAGGTATTTCCATCTACTGAATAGCCAGTACATAGTGAGCTCCACGGAAATCTGTTTGATATCAACCTTCAGCCAAGCTTATGTTCATCATCCCAACAGGCATCAAAGAGTTACATGAATTAATTGACTTCTTAGGATATTAAGACACTAGACTTGGGCCCTCTGATAAGTGATACTTGTTGTACTGGAAAGCATTTTTTCTTCAACAATGATTAGAGATTAGGAAGATGTGTTCTAAATGGTAATCGATACGTGACATCAATTCCTATTAAGCTTTCCAAGTCCATTCATCCACATTGTAGGCAAAATGGTTCTCTGGGAAGATTTAGTAGCACAGAGACTTGAGAATATGACCAAGTAGTCATTGTCCTAATACCCATACTCCACCCTCCAACTTGTTTTGTGTCTTTTCATGATGGTTCCACTGAAGAGCATCACATTACTAGAGCCAATTTGAATCAATATTCAGTTCAGTACAAGTCTATTGCTACATTCTAATGGGTTTGTGACCTTTACAGCCAATGAGTAATTCTTATGGAAATGGAGCTGTTTTGAAAATCTGATTAGAGAAGGCGCTGGATATTTCTAGGTGTAAAGGGAATACAAATCATTTTCTAATTCCAAAAATGCCACCTTTCCTAATTCTCCAAATCGCAGCTAGTGACAGTGTTAAGTACTCGGTGGAGTGGATAGTCCTTCAGGGCATCACACAATGATGGGTGATCTAAGAATGAAACTGACCAGCCTAGCTTGTTGGTACTGAAAATGCTATATAAACCTATCAAGAGTATGCTTGTTATTCATAAAATACAGGGTCCCAGCCCATTGTTCTCAAAGCCACTTTTCCTCACTATGTGCTCCACCTCACTGTTCCAATTGGGCAGAGAAAAAAGCCTCGAAGAGGACATTGTCTTGCACTCTGGGACTTGACAGCCATTTATGTCCTTCCTTCAATCCTCAGTGATCTCAAGGCATAGAAGTGATTTTAAGAATAATGACTCCTCCATACATAAACAAATTGGGTAGCTCTCACAGCTACTATCAGCTCTGATGGTGTATGCCTTCTGAATTTTAAAGAATGAAACAAGACCACATGCAACATTTATAAACATAATTTGAGTTCATTTCTTCCTGTTCTCACTCCATACTATAAAACCACTGGGACAAAACAGCAATAGCATAAACCAGCCTAGGGCTAGCCCTCTAGTTCCTCCACTAAGAGAGATAAATAAACAAAATAAAATTCTTTTCTGATTGCCCTGCAGACATTTTTATTCATCCTGGGTAAGGCTGCCATTAAAATGATGGTACTTTAAAATGATTCCTTTATTTCTCACATTTTCTAAGCTTTCTCTTGCTGTTATCTTACAATCACATAAAATCATTGGAAGAGAGGGACCTGTTCCATAAGGAAAGGCAGAGAATAAGCAAAATGCATGCAGCTGGAAAAAACATGTGGAATATTATCATCAACCCTCTTGACTTGAAAACTGATTTCCTTAGACAGCATTTCCAAAACCAAATATCCCTGCTAGAGGTAGAGACACACGTGCTAAAAATCAAGTCAGCAGCTTTTTTGTCATTGCCCAGAGAAATGCCACTATGATTTGGAAAGCTGCACCAAAAGAAATGATCATTCTCTAGTAGATTTTCGAAATTAAACTGACCCAGATAGATTTTCACAAGTAGTAATAAGAGAAATAGCAATTCCAAAATTATCTCTGCCTATAGAACCCTACTTGTCTAGAAGGTAACTAGGATGCCTGCTTCCTTTTCCAAAATTTGGCCAACTCTCCACTGAAGATAGGTTCTAGGATAAAAGGAGTTTTTTTAAATGAAATGTTTACAATAATTTTAATCCATTTTAAACAGTAAATTTAAAAGAAGGGAAGTGAGGAGAGTAGGGATTTGTCTTAGTGACTTCAGGATGACAGAAGAATTAATCTCTATCAGGAGACCCCTGAGGGAACTGTCTTGTCTTTTGAGTTGTAGACATTGTAAGTCCCATGAAGCATAGTTGCATTATTCATGAATAAGATTTCTGTCTCAATACAGCTCCCTTTAGTTGTTGTTTATTCACCTAAAACTTTTTAAATAAGGCAGTGAGAAGATTCCTGCAAAGTGTTTAGACTTCAATTTCACATTTAGAATCATACACACACACACACACACACACACACACACACACACACAGCATTTACATTTGAAGTCCACATTTCTTTAACATTTGTTGGCTACTTACAAAAGAACTTTTGAAGTATAAGGGGAGAAGAGAAAAATCTTTCCACGACTGCACCTATGCAAAGTATGTCAACATTTTGACAGCATCATGAAAAGCAATCATTAATCTTTAAGCTGTGTTATAACTGAGCTATGTACTCAGCAAACCTCTCTGATCCCTTTCATCATCCCCTAATCTTACAAGACACGTGAAACTGTAAATATCCTCTTGTTAAACCTTTTCTCCAACTATTTTGCTGAATTTGGAATGGTAACCAACAATATTCCCGGCCAACTGCAACCAAATTATATTAATTTGAAGACAAATCTTACAACATTTAGAGAAAGAGCCAATCCACACACTAGGGAACACATAACAGCAAAAGATATGAATTGACAGTAAGGAATGACATGCTAGACATCTCTGTTCATACAACTCAGTGATTTTGGAGGGAAAAAACTATCTTTCAATTTTGATGTGGCTGTTTTGATGCTGTCTTATTTTCTATGTTAAATGAGAACCGCAGGCATTATAGGTCAATACTGGAGATGGAGTGACAGCCATAGGTGAAGCTATTGATCACCACACAGACTTCTGGATAGGGGAACAATACAATGAGATAGCTGTTGGCTTTTTCAGCCCTTCAGTAGCCAGCGATCTATAGTTCCATGGAATAGGCTGGGTGAGGACAACCTCCTAGGAAGTAGAGACTGACCCAACTACTTGTGCACATAACTGAAAATACATCTAATACTTGCCTCAAGAAAAAGAATCATTTAGCTCAGTGGTGTAAGTGCCTACCTGGCAAGCGTGAGGTCGTGAGTTCAAACTCTGGTACCAAAAAAAAAAAAAAAATCAGATGTGGCAAAATGGGCTAATAATAATGCTTTAAATTCCATTATTTATTCATCACTCTTTTAATAACTCTCTTTTGAACACATTCTTTGTGCCAAATTCTGTACTAAGCACAAGAATCCATACATCTCTCTAAACAAAATTATATTGTCAAATTATCTGAAACTACCTAGACAGGCTTCTTTTGCATATTTGGATGTTATTTCCGGGATGTATATCTTTCCAGTGCAGCTGATTAGTATGTTTTCCCATTGTGCTCCTTTCCAGCATGGACCAATCTATGATTATGCCACACAGTGACTAACAGCAGGGTTAATGATTCTCCACAGGAAATAAAAGGCCTTTATAGGAGCTTATAATTTAGCGGACTATGCTCTTCCAATGCACATTCACATCCATTACCATGTTCAGCCCATACAACAATCCTACAATCCAGCCAGAGCAGGCATTATTATACCTATTTCATAGAAAAGACAGTTGAGCCAAGATGACACTGTGACTTGTCAAACATCACTCAGCTCAGTGAAAAAGAGCTGGAACTACAAACTTCATGCTGTGAAATCCCAGTGGGATCCTTTTCCACTAGACTTTGA